TATATATATATATATATATATATATATATATATATATATATTGTATTACTATTACATTCAACCTGAAATTCACCCCGTAAATACTTTTTAAAATATTTATTTTTATAAAATGAAATTTAGGGTGTTAAATTTTGTAAAAACAAACAAGTCAAATAAAGTCAACAAAGACAAAAAGTAATAAATACAAGAGGGTCAATATAATAAGATATAAATGAGACGCATATCATTAATTCAAACCTTATCACATAGCTCAAACGTGTGTTATTAAAAAATATTCATACTTCACCATATTCTTGTTATAAAACATTTAAATGAAGTGTTAAGTAACAAAAAACAACATATAAACTTCACTAAATATTTATTCCCCTCCCCCATCACATTAATTTAATTAAGACCATCTTTTGAATTGCAAAAGTTCTCTGCCTTGAATTTTGAGATAATATCCTTCCTTCTTTGCATGCCATTCACATATATTATTTTCACATCTTTTAGAATCTCTATTATTATTATTATTATGAAAAAAGAAAAAAAAACAATGAACTAAAGAGCATGAATAATATAAAGTTAACACAAAAGAAATAATAGACACATTGTATTGTGAAGACTTCATTTTCTTTTTTGGTGGTTTATAGGAGTGAAGTGTTGGTTTTATATAGATATAGGGGGGGGGGGGGGGAGTTAATAGTTCATGGATGTTTTGTAATCGGAAATTCTAAAAACGAGACGGGCGAAATTTTTCATGTACGTTTCTCAAGACCTTAGCAATGAACCCAGCTTATCCCGCGGGGAAAACAGAAACATTTTCAAGTTCAAACAATCCCCAAAGCACGTAAATGCAGATTTTACCGATCTTTATGTGCTATAGTTTATGGTTTTTTTGTGATCAAGAATTCCCGAAATGAAATGGCTTAAATTTTTCATGGAATCTTTTAAAACCTTAGCAGTGGACCCAGTTCACCCCGCAAGAAAAACAGACACATTTTCAAGTTTAAACGAATCCCAAAGCAGGTAAACGCAAATATTCCTAATTTTCGTGTGCTATATTCCATGGATTTTTTGTGAACGGGAATTTCCTTAATCAAAATGGCCTAAATTTTTCATGGACGTCCATTAAGACCTTAGTAATGGTCTCAGTTCGTCTGGAGGGGAAAATGAGCACATTTACAAGTATAAATGAGCCCCAATGCATGTAAACACATATTTTATCGATTTTCGTGTGCTATAGTCTATGAATTTTTTGTGATCGAGAATTCACAAAAAGTAATGACTGAAATTTTTTATGGACGTCAATTGAGACCTTGGCAACGAATCGTGTTTGTCCTGTGGGGAAAAGAGACGCATTTTCAAGTTCAAATGAGCCCCAAAGCAGGTAAATGCATATTTTATCGATTTTCATGTGCTATATAGTCCATGAATTTTTTGTGATCGGAAGTTCCAAAATGAAATGACCAAAAAATTTCATGGATATCCGTTAAGACCTTAGCAATGGACCTAGTTCGTCTTGTAGAGAAAAATGACGTATTTTCAAGTTCAAATGAGCCCCAAAGCTGGTAAAAGGAGATTTTGTCAATTTTCATGTGCTGTATAGTCCATAAATTTTTTGTAATCAAAAATTCGGGAAATGAAATGGCCGAATTTTTCATAGACGTCTTTTAAGACCTTAGAAATGGACCGAGTTCGTCCCGCAGAAAAAACGGACACGTTTTCAAGTTAAAATGAGTCTCAAAGCAAGTAAACACAAATTTTATCGATTTTTGTGTGCTATAGTCTATGAATTTTTTGTGATCAAGAATTCACGAAACAAAATGGTTGAAATTCTTAATGGACGTTATTAAGACCTTAGCAATGGACCAGTACATCCAGCGGAAAAAACGGGCACATTTTCAAGTTCAAATGACCCCTAAAGAAGGTAAATGCAGATTATGCTAATTTTTATGTGTTATAATCTATGGATTTTTTGTGATCGCAAGTTCCTGAAACGAAATGACTAAAAATTTTCATGGACGTTGCTTAAGATCTTAATAATGGACCTACTTCGTCTCAAGGGAAAACAAACGTATTTTCAAGTTCAAATGAGCCCCAAAGAGGTAAATGCAGATCTAGCCGATTTTCGTCTCCTATATTGCAGGAATTTGTTGTGATCGAGAATTCCCAAAACAAAATGATCAAAATTTTATATGAACGTCCGTTAAGACCTTAGCAATGTATCAAATTCGTCTCGCGAGGAAAACAGAAACATTTTCAAGTTAAAATTAGTCCTAAAGTAGGTAAAGTAGATTTTTCCAATTTTCATGTGCTATAGTCTATGAATTTTTTGTGATCGAGAATTTCCAAAACGAAATCTAAAATTTTTCATAGACGTCCGTTATGACCTTGTAATGGATCCAATTCGTTCCGCGAGAAAAACAGGCGCATTTTCAAGTTTAAATGAGTCCCAAAGAAGCTAAAAGCAGATTTTACTAATTTTCTTTTTTTATAGGTCCATTTGATTTTTTTGTATAAAAGAAATTTCACAAAATAAATGACCCGAAATTTTTTAAGGGAAGTCCTGTAAAACTTTTTTAATGGACCCCAATTTTTTCCCGGGATAATATAAATGCATTTTCAAGTTCACCCCAAGCCCCAAAACCAGGTAAATACAGATTTTAATTAATGTTGTGGTGTTACAGCACATATATTTTTTATTCCGGAATTACAAAAATGAAAAACCCAAAATTTTTCTTGAACGCGGCTTTAAGACCTTAGCAATGGACCAAGTTTGTTGTGCGGGGAAAACATACGCATTTTCAAATTTAAACGAGCCCTAAAACAGGTAAACACATATTTTACCGATTTTCGTGTGCTGAAGTCCATGTATTTTTTGTAATTAGGAATTTCCAAAACGAAATTGCCAAAAGTTTTCATGGACGTCCGTTAAGACCTCAACAATTGACTCGATTCGTCCCGCGGGGAAAACGGAAGCATTTTCAAGTTCAAATAAGCCTCAAAACATATAAACTTAGATATTACCGATTTTCATGTGCTATAATCCATAATTTTTTTGATGAACGAACCGAAATAAAATAGCCAAAATTTTTAGTAAACATTCGTTAAGACCTTAACTTTGATTATCATATTTAGTTCTTTTTATAAAAAGATGAAATAGCCTAAATGCCCCGTACTCCAAATCAATCATGTCACATAAGTTCAAACTTTTCCAATGAGGACTCATAACTTTGATTAGTGAATTTAATTTCTTTTAACAAATGATTAGATAAAAAATTTAGACACGAAAATGCTGAGCAATGTCTAAAATTCAAAGAATAAAATAATAAATATGGGTCATCACTGACAAAGTTTGACCTTAAATAACATAATTGATTTGAATAATGCTTTCATTATTAATAAATATCTTTAAATTCCAATCAAGACTAATGGAAGTTTATGGTTGATGTGTGTTCATGCAACCAATAGCTACGAATGAACCAAATAACATGTATAATATATATTCGAAAAGAAAGTTTTGTCATCAGAGCCTATCGAAAAATATAATTCTATTTTAAAGCTTCATTTCATTTCAGCAACAATAATCGGCAAATTGAATTGCGAAAACTTTATGTTTTCTCATCCTCCTTGTTTTTTTTTCTTTCTATATGATATGGCTTATATGAGCGAAGCATTAGTCTTTATATAGTAGTATAATATATAATTATCTTTCCTTAAAATTAATTACCATTTATGAAAAGATTAGGATATGATTCATGTATCCTTACATGCTCAATTACTATGGGAAAATGATAATGGATTAAATGTTATTTAAGATCCTCCTTCCTAGATTTTTTTATATTTATTTAACTTGTCAATCTCTTCATATATAGTTATTATTCTCAATTATTCAAGAAAAATATTTTAAATTATTTTCTCATTAAGGAAAATTAGCACTTTTAGTCTCTCAAATGTCCATAAATAGTGATCCTTGTAATATTGTCTAAATATGTTTAGTCTTTAATTAATGAATGTATGTATTTTTCTGTTCCTCTAATTATGAATTTTCACAAATTTAACGAATTATTAAGGGGTGTGATTTAATATATGAAACATGTAGTAAAAAATATATATAGTTTAATTATTTATTTTTATCGAAAGAGTTCGAATGAATCTCTTTCCTTCCAATAATTTTGTTTTGGGATGTAAAAATACATCACTTTATAAATGATAACAAATTTTATTTAACTTTTAAATTGGAGATAGACTAGGGATAAATGGAGAAGGGATTACAATGCGGAGAATTAAAAAAAAATGTTCACATTCAATATTTATACCTACTCAAATAAATATCAAGTATCAATAATATCTACTACTACTTTTATTGGAGATATTAAGCAATAAGTACCAGTGGTCTAGTGGTAGAATAGTATCCTGCCATGCAGTGGCGGAGCCACTGTTTAGGGGTTCATTCGAATCTCCTTTCGTGGAAAATTATATTATTTTATATGATTAAAATAATATTTTAGATAACTATATATATATAGTAGATGATGAACCGCCATCGGTTATTTCGTATGTCTATATCTCATATTTTGAACCTCCTTATCAAAAATTCTGGCTCCGACTCTACTGCCACGGTATAGACTCGGACTTTTTAATTCTAAATTTTTCACATGACATGTTTAATACGACAAGATTAAAAACATGTTGGTAGATTCTATATATATATATATATTTATTTATTTTTTATAGTATTAGAGAGTAAATGCACAGGGACTTTTACAGTATGTTTTGATGAACAAAACTTACTATCTTTATGTTAATTATGTTTCTTGTACATCAGCATAAAATTTATCTACAAGTTCTGTTAAACCAACTGTACTCCCTCCTCCTACTTTCAGCAGCATGCTGTTGAATGTGGTTTTCAAGTGCTTTCTACCCTCTGGTTGACTCCAGAGAACCTTAAGGACATCTGGGGGATAGATCGGAGCAGGCTTAGCTACCAACTGCTGACCATCTACTTCAGTTCCGTTCAGCCTTGGAACGTATAGAATCAAATCAGAAATGATGACGAGGGAAGCAAATGCATAGTTAAAGGAAACCAATATCGGATAAGAAAGTAACTACCTGTTTATAATCTCTAACATTCTTGGCCATTCAGCGAGTTTGAAATGCACGTCCATGATGCCAAGAGCTTTCTTGAAGAAGTGCCTAGTCTGTCCCAGATTTTTGCAAAAGGAGATCACTTTGGCTCTGGAAGGGATAGCGATATTTGATATCCTTACAATGGTTGTTCTTGGTGCATCGATTCGCAAGATTGATAGTGTCTCTCCAAGCATGGTCAATGAATGCTTTGCAATAGCAATCTCTTTGCCCTCTACTGTCTGGCAGAAGAAGGTTTTGAATGTTAATAAACTATATTTGCTAGTATTAGAAATTCATTTTGTCAATAAAAACTTCAACTAGTCAAAAAGCTACAAGATTGGATGAACTCAAAAGAGGGAAACGAGGAAAGTTATTCCATTAGAAGCAAATTACCTCAAATTCCACATATGCAACGGAGCTTGATGAACCAAAGTAAATTCCAGTTATGTTGCTTCTGCAGAAGGCTAGAGCTTCTTCGATGTCATGAAAGGACACATTGTGCTTCAATTCTTTTATCATAACTGTCCTTGAAGGATGCTTTACCAATGAGGTGGGAACTTCTGGATAACCAATTAAATCAGGTATACACATCCTCTCTCTCCCTTTCGGAGGAAAAGTGGCCTCCACAACTACTATATTCTTAATGACCACATCAGACCATTCAAGAGCCTTTTGCCTTCCTTTTTTGGACTGCAAAAGCCAAAAAAATGGTTAGTGTAAGCTAGAATGTGAATTAGCTGTGCCAAACAAGAGCCTACACTGCCACCATTTCGTTTCTCAAAATGGAGACATTTAATTCACAGCAGAACAAAGTTGATGCTGAATATATCATTTTGTGCAAGCTGTGTGAAGAAGCAATGCAAAAACAAAATGCATATAGGAGCATACTTCCATAAGAAAGTCAAACTGTGACATATTATGGGGTTTAGCCCCTCAAGTTGAACATGGAGAGGATGTATTGCTAGATAATGGTACCCTTTTCTTGTACCAGTAACACGTATTTTTAACAACATTTAGTTGTTAAAATTGGTACAACATTAAATCAATTTCAGTTTTGCATCTATTCATTAAACAACAGGGTTGTACAGCACTAGAGCTACACTACGTTCAATTGAAAGATATAACTTCAGTCCCTAACCTCGAACCATCTCCTTGAACAAGCATAGCCAAAGTACATCAGCAGTGTCTGTTTTCCTGCTGAAGTGCAGCTCATTTCATATTGGTCCCAAAAATACATGTCTTTATCTTGTTTTTAATTTATTTTATTTCTGTTTTCTTTTCCTTTTTCTTTTTTTGCTTGTTCTTTTCTTTCCTTTTTTGCTTTTAATTGCTCTATAATTTATTTATGTTTACAACTATAGGAAGTCCAGAAAAAACAGCCCTGAAAGAAAATGGTCAAGGACCAGAATACTGAAAACATACCTCAAAATAAATGTGTGCAACTTTATAATTAGTTGATTTGACACTTGGAAACACTACTTTTGTAATAGCCCCACAACTTTTGAAACAGTCACGGACATCATCTTCTGTAGCTTTTACATTCACAAACTTTATAGTCAATTTGTTTTCATCAGATAATTTTTCAGATAAAGAGGCATCCTCATCCTTGTTCAGGTTACCATTTTCCCTCAAAGATGTAATCTCCTCAGTTTCTATTGACTTGAAGAAATCACGAGGTGCAGTACTCCTGATCTCTGTTCTTTCATCACCAGGGTTGAGATCATCAAGGACTTCGCTAGATATCCCACCCTTCTTTCCAATCACACCCTGAGATGAAGTCTTTCTTTTTTTCCTGTCAGTTGACTGCTTGTTAGTTTGTGCTTGGGTGATGTTACTTGTCTTTCTTTCACTATATCTGTCAACATTTCTGTCAGCAACAATTTCCCTCAAAGATGTAAGCTCTTCAGTTTCTATTGACTTGAAGAAATCACGAGGTGCAGTATTCCTGATCTCTGATCTATCATCACCAGGGTTGAGATCTTCAGCGACTTCACTAGATATCCCAACCTTCTTTCCAATCACACCCTGAGATGAAGTCTTTCTTTTTTTCCTGTCAGTTGACTGCTCGTTAGTTTGTGCTTGGGTGCTGTTACTTGCCTTTCTTCCACTATATCTGTCAACACTTCTGTCAACAACAATTTCCTCAGGCCTAACAACAGAATGATTCTGAGGAGGGAGCACCCTAATACATTCTATTAAGCCCTTTATGTCGCCACTCTTGCCGAAAGTATTCTGAGAAGTTTCATGAAGGTGCTCAAACTCTCTAGGTACAGATTTTTCGCTCTTTGGGGCAACAATCTGATTCGACGAAAATTTGAACTTCTTCATAATGTCCTCCTGGCTTTCAGATGCAGTTGAACCAGATTTATTTGCAGAAATTCTATGTGATGTCCTAGGTATCTCAATTTGCATCCGATGTTCTACGATACGTGCGTCCTCAGATTTTGACAGGATCTCTTCGCCAGAACTGATTTGTAAACTTGATGATGCTTCCTCAGCTAGCAATTGTTCTCTCTCTTTCTTAACGAACTCTGAATGATGGAAATCATTAATCAGTTGAACACCGTCGTTGGAATCGGCTTTCCTGCAGATAGATGATGCACCGGAAGACATGTCATTTACCCCGTAGTCAGTGCTTCCTTCACATTCTTTTGACGAGATATTTCGCGATTCCTCAGTCTCAACTGTATTTGAAGTGTTTTTCATATTAACAATCTCAACGGCTATAAAAGAAGACAGAGATGTTTTACTGTCAACATTTTCTTCCATATTAGTTATAGACGTCTTTTCTGAACGAATTGTACTCTTAAGATTATTCATACTTCCACTATCATGACTATGAGCAGATACAACATTATCAGAATCCTTAAGATCAGAAGTGGAAGTTAATGAATGAGTGCTACTGCTCTTCTGCTCCAAAATATTTCTAAATATCTTCTTTTTAGTTATTTGAAAGGTCGCTACCAAACTATTCCACGAATCTACTTCCTTCTGGACACGTGTTTCTCTAGGAAAGACCTCTTCATTTTCAGTCATATGCCTATAACAACAATGATCCGAGAAATGTTTCAGAACAAATGAGATATTAGAGGATAAACTTGTGTAAGAAATAAAAGAGTGCTTATTGTTACGAAATGGAAAAAACAGATACACTGGCACTCAAATACACAAAATACTGTAGACTTTTGCAAGCTGGAGAATCTATATTATCAAAAACAGAGAGGAAAAAAGTAGAAATAAGAAACAAAGCACCATGTAAATATGACTCTACTGCATAGACTAGTGTAATCCAAAGAAATAAAAAAGCAATTGATCTGCATGAAATTAGTCCATCACTAGTATGATATCCATTTCACATCTCGAAGCATGCTACAAAATCCCAATTCACCTTCTAACTTAGTTTTAGAAAATTGCACTCTCTACTTTTAGATACCTAACATTCATGTTGACAGTTAAACTGGAACATATTTCATCGTGATGATCTCCACTGTGCAGTTATGACAGTTAAACAACCTCAGCTACTACGTAGGCATGTATTCCCAAAGGAAGATCGCCCTGACCTTTTGACGATGAGACATCATTTACAACCTATGTTGCTCGGATATGGGTGCCGACATCCGATATGGGTGTAGATCTACAGGTCGAATTCATCATCAAATAAATTTTAGGATTCGGGGCTACGAACTGAAGTACGGGTGCTAGGATATGGTTAATAAATGTATATCACAACATATATGTCGTAATGCAAGTATACACTTTGCACAAATAAAAGTCTAAATCAAACCAAATACTCAATTAACCGATAGTTCTACACTTCATGTACAAATATCTAACTGACACCACACCTTATGTAAGTGCGCTAACACTATTGAACCTCATTGCCTATATGAATTCTCTTCTTAGTTAAATTCGCATAGATTCAAAGAGATGGCATATCATTGAGACAACTACCCTCCATGTGACTTTAGGTATAACTTGTTCTTTTTTATAACGCCATAATGTTGCACTGAAGTACTGGTGCATTCAGCGGTCAATGTAGGACATAGTCAAGCCATCTCATTCTCATTTATTATCTCTATGTTCTACTTGTACCGTCTGCCTCGAGTGTGATTATTTCTAATTTTTTACAAGTACATGTCCATCGGAAAATCTTATTTGTATGCTATCAGAAAACATCTTATTCGTTGATAATCATCTTGTGGAATGCATACTTAGTAAGCAACTAATAATTTTAAGGACCTTAATTATATTAACATCAAATTTCAACCAAATAGTTAAGCTCAAAATGTAGCTAAAGGCGCATACTCTTTCTAATCAAGAGATCTTACTTCTTTTCAGCTATCTCCACATCTCTGTCTTTCAGTTGCACCATCACTTCTGATTTCTTCAACGGCTGTGAAATTTCACCCTTACCATTCACTGAAGAACACCATCTTCTACATTCTGGAAATAGCCACTATCTCCATTAGCACGCACAATTGGAAAAAACATTACTCCTTCACCCTCCCTCCCTAAAACCAAAAAAAAAGACCAAGAGCTTTTTACAACCAAAATGAAAAAAAAAAAAAAACTAATTCTTTTTCCAAATGGTATCTGAAGAACTACTTATTTCACTCTTTCCAAATCCTGGCAAATAGGTTGATTAAACCCCCAAAGGAAAAAACAAACCCCCTCACGCCCCTCCCCCCCCCCCAACATTTTCGAAAATAAAGGAAAGAAAAAAAATTTCCTTTTTTTTAG